CAACCCAGCTGCACTATAACTGACAATTTTTTTTGCTCCGTAGGTCGTATCATCTTTCCTTCATGCGTGAACATAGTAGTTTTTGCTCCCCAGTCCCGTAGAGGGAGGAGTCTGATGTTTTTTATTTTTTGCCATTTTCTCTCTATAAGTTTGTTAGCATCAGTGAACGCAGTTGCGCAGGCTGTGAGAGTGCGTTTGTATGTAATGCCAATGGATCGTGCAATTTTGCCAATCAACGCTGTTAGGGACAAGTTTTTTTAGGTAGGTTATGCAAAGTATATGTCGTCACCTAGACGTCTGACTCGTTAGTGGCATAAGTTATTCGCTATGGCACAGTACGATTGCAGAATTACCCCAACGTAACAGTTAATTTGCAGACCACGCTTAGCTATGCACAATTCGATTGCAGAATCGCATTACAAAGCAGCTGACTGCAAAATCTACACCACGATCAGGCTTAGTAACAACTGACACGCAAAAATTTGTAAGCAATGCCAGACAGCAAGCTGCACAATGTTCTGCTTCGAGCTTCCACCTTAAAGCTAAACCGTTCTCTAGTCCTGCTTCAGCTATCGACAGGCTACCCATATTACAACCCAGGATTCCAACTGGTGTTACCCGGGTGTAAGTGGGAGCAAATAAACACAAGTAGAAAAAGTTTAGACTTATTTTATCCTTCACCAATTTATAACTGCTATATGTACACTATGTACAGTGGATAAGTATAGTGGCACTACACGGTAATGCACAAAGCAGAATTGAAGCCACAAGATGCAGGACGTGCTTCAACCAGTCTAGAATGGGATTGACAAGGGCAGGACAGGAGAGCGGTACCCACATAAACTCTGCGATTGCCAAAAACCATCTTTTATTGGCTAGAACTGGTCTTTCGTGAACGACGGGGCCCCTTCATCAAATCTTGCAACCTGGTTCGATGGTTGGGGGAGATAGCCTGTATTTGAGGGTGTGTACGTGCGCGAATAAGGGTTACGTCTTTTGCATGCCACTGTTCTTATGAATTTTTTTCCAAAACTGGTCATATGGTTTGAGAAATATTAAGTTTCTCGTTAGATACTTATAGACAGGATTCTGTGTGGATCTTTCAAATAATGAAAGGAAAGAATCAATGTGCTCTTTGTCCGTTTAAATGTCCTGCTCTGTGGGTGCTTGAATGTTCTACCCATGTACTCAGAAGTATCTCTTCCTAAATACTGTCTACTATTTTCTCAGTGGCTGTTAAGATGCCATACATGGGGACTTCTTTGCCTATCCGATATTTCTATGATCTAAATTCTACTAATACCCTTTAACCTTTCCTTACGTTATCTTGTGTGCTTGTCACAGTGGCAAGCACACAAGATAATTATTTGAAAAGACCACACAGAATAATAGCTATCCATGTCTACAGTATCTAACGAGAAACTTATTTTCTCAAACCATATGACCTGTTATAAACGATTAGAAAAAGCTTGGGGCTGGCTTTTTATATCTTATAATTAACTATTTGACATCTCAGAAACCCTCCTACCCTATATGGGTAGTGAGGAGATGATGGTAGAGTGGGGTTGGCACCGACCACTATCCCAGTCTAAGGGTAACCGTGGCCAGTGATACCTACGCTACTCTGAGACCTCTCCCTGCTTTGGTTGCTCCCTTGCAACATCGCACAGCTCCTGATGACGCAGTGAGAAGTGTGAAAGTACTTGAGCTAAAGATTCCCCCCCCCGGTCCTAGGACTGACCCCTGTGGGACCCCGCTCATCACAGGTGCCAACTGTGATACCTCATCACGTACCATGACTCGCTGTTGCCTCCCTATCAGGTATTCTCTGATCCATTGCAGTGCCCTTCCTGTTATACATGCCTGATCCTCGAGCTTCTGCACTAATCTCTCGTGAGGAACTGTGTCGAAGACCTTCTTGCAGTCCAAAAAGATGCAATCGACCCACCCTTCCCTCTCATGTCTTACTTGTTACCTTGTCATAAAACTCCAGTAGGTTTGTGACACAGGATTTGCCTTCCATGAATCCGTGCTGGCTGTCGTTTATAACCATGTTCCGTTCCAGGTGCACCACCACTCTTCTCCTGATAATCTTCTCCATGACTTTGCATACTATACATGTCGGTGACACTGGTCTGCAGTTTAGTGCTTCGTTTCTGCCCCCTTTCTTAAAGATGGGGATCACATTTGCTGTCTTCCATACCTCAGTTTCAAGTGATGTGTTGAAGATTGTCGTTAGTGGCACACACAGTGTCTCTCCTCCCTCTCTAAGGACCCACGGAGAGATGTCCGGAGTGTGTGTGTGTACTCGCCTAATTGTGGTTGCAGGGGTTTATTCATAGCTCCTGGCCCCACCTCTTCACTGGACACTACTAGGTCACTCTTCCTGCTCCATGAGCTTTATCATACCTCTTGTTAAAACTATGTATGGATCCTGCCTCCACTACATCACTTCCTAGACTATTCCACTTCTTGACAACTCTGTGACTGAAGAAATACTTCCTAACATACCTGTGATTCATCTGAGTCTTCAACTTCCAACTTTGACCCCTTGTTGCTGTGTCCCATCTCTGGAACATCCTGTATCTGTCCATCTTGTTGATTCCTCTCAATGTTTAATATGGTTATCATGTCCCCCCCATCTCTCCTCTCCTCCAATGTCGTCAGGTTGATTTCCTATAACCTCTCCTCATAGGTCATGTCCCTTATCTCCTTGACTAGTCTTGTTGCAAACCTTCGCACTTTCTCTAGTTTCCCTGCGTGCTTGGAGGTGTGGGTTCCAAACTGGTGCTGCATACTCCAATATAGGCCTAACATACATGGTGTACAGTGTCCTGAATGATTCCTTAATAAGATGTCGGATTGCTGTTCTTAGGTTTGCTAGGCCCCCGTATGCTGCAGTAGTTATTTGGTTGATGTGCACCTCAGGAGATGTGCCCGATGTTATGTTCACCCCAGGATCCTTTTCCTTGAGTGAGGTTTGTAGTCTCTGGCCTCCCTAGACTGTACTCTGTCTGTGGTCTTCTTTGCCCTTCCCCAATCTTCATAACTTTGCACTTGGTAGGGTTGAACTCCAGGAGCCAGTTTCTGGACCAGTCCTGCAGCCTGTCCAGATTCCTTTGTAGTTCTGCCTGGTCCTCGTCCAATTGAATTCTTCTCAACTTCACATCATCGGCAGAGTTACCTCTGAATCTATTTCTACCATCATGTCATTCACAAATACATACCAGGAACAGTACAGGTCCAAGGACCGACCCGTGAAACCCCGCTCGTCACAGGCGCCCACTCTGACACCTCGCCACGTACCATGACTCGTTGTTGTCTTCCTGACAGGTATTCCCTGATCCATTGCAGTGCCTTCCCTGTTTGGTTCTCCAGCTTTTGCAGACTGTGTCAGATGCCTGTGTGTGTGTGTGTTAGTTACCATTTTGTCCTAGTGTGTGTGTGTGTGTGTGTGTGTGTGTGTGTGTGTGTGTACTCACCTAGTTGAGGTTGCAGGGGTCGAGTCCAAGCTCCTGGCCCCCGCCTCTTCACTGGTCACTACTAGGTCACTCTCCCTGAACCGTGAGCTTTATCATACCTCTGCTTAAAGTTACGTATGGATCCTGCCTCCACTACATCGCTTCCCAAACTATTCCACTTCCTGACTACTCTGTGGCTGAAGAACTTCCTAACATCCCTGAGATTCATCTATGTCTTCATCTTCCAACTGTGTCCCCTTGTTGATGTGTCCCATCTCTGGAACATCCTGTCTTTGACCACCTCGTCAATTCCTCTCAGTATTTTGTATGTCGTTATCATACCCCCCCTATCTCTCCTATCTTCCACTGTCGTCAGATTGATTTCCCTTAACTTCTCCTCGCAGGACATACCTCTTAGCTCTGGGACCAGTCTTGTTGCAAACCTTTGCACTTTCTCTAGTTTCTTTACGTGCTTGGCTAGGTGTGGGTTCCAGACTGGTGCCGCATATTCCAATATGGGCCTAACGTACACGGTGTACAGGGTCCTGAACAATTCCTTATTAAGATGTCGGAATGCTGTTCCGAGGTTTGCTAGGTGCCCATATGCTGCAGCAGTTATTTGGTTGATGTGCGCTTCAGATGTGCCTGGTGTTATACTCGCCCCAAGATCTTATTCCTTGAGCGAGGTTTGTAGTCTGGCCCCCTAGACTGTATTCTGTCTGCGGTCTTCTTTGCCCTTCCCCAATCTTCATGACTTTGCACTTGGTGGGGTTGAACTCCAGGAGCCAATTGCTGGACCAGGTCTGCAGCCTGTCCAGATCCCTTTGTAGTTCTGCCTGGTCTTCAATCAAATGAATTCTTCTCATCAACTTCACGTCATCTGCAAACAGGGACACTTCGAAGTCTATTCCTTCCGTCATGTCATTCACAAGTGTGTGTGTGTGTGTGTTTGTGTGTATTTGCTTGTTTGTTTTTGTTTCATTTAATAAGCTGAACTCGTTTAAAAATTGGACTTAAAAAAAACTAGCTTCAGACATATTTTTTCATTGACAATGATTTAAAATTCTATTTTTTGACCAAATCTAACTTAGAAACCGCGCTTAGTTTAACACTTTTTTTTAGCCAAATTCTACTAAATATGTCACAGAAGAGTTTAAGCAGGCCAGAGTAGACTTGAACTGACCAGACAATACTTTGGCCCCCAACGAGGTAAGGTGGCCCGACAAAGAGGAAAACGCTTTCACTATCGTTCATTAAATTGCTCTCTTGCCAGAAACTCTGACATGACAGTTCACATGTCCTCTAAACTGTAATGAATAACCATGAACAGACAGATGGCAGCAAAAAAAAAAAAAAAAAAAAAGCTTTAGCAATGAAACCTTTTATGAGCATGTTTTATCCACCGAGTCTTTATAAACACTTCACGCACCAGTGAGTGAAACGTCATATTAATAAAGGGTTTCTTTGTTGAGAGTGTCTTTATCACCACTTATCTTTAAAATTGTGAATAGAAAATAGGAATAGTATTTAAAAGTACCATGATGATAATCTATTTATTGGTATAAATACAATCCGGATTAAAGTTTCTATGAAACCAATCACGAGTGAGATTATAATGTATCAAAATGTTGGCTATACACAAAAGCAGTCACAAGCTTCAAAACTTACATTTCAGAACGTTTCCATAACCTGTGAAAAAAAAAAAATTATTGTATAATGTACATATTAAATATTTGACTGAAAATAGCCAAAGTTTTAAAATAAGTTACTGCATGACATCATGCATTTTCAAAAGGGCATTTCTGTATTATTACAATCCTTACTCAGGTATGTAATTAACTGGGCATTACAGTATTTCACTGAATGCTCCGTATAACTGTAAATGCTACATCATTTGCACAGGGACTAGAAATACTTTTTCCTAGATAGGTTGTCCTGCTTTACTGTTGAGCATGAAATTCTTTAATGCATATATTTAAAAAAAAAAAAAAAATATATATAAATGCTTCAGCAGCTACATTGCTATTTGGTTCAATATAAAGATACAAATTTCTGTTTTACAACCTTCTTTATACATCGTAATGGGTACTTCTCATCTATGTCTGCTCTAAATGTACATAAATTATCCAATGTACCACAGATGACAAGCTAATTTCTATGTCTTTTTCTGAACTGTCAACTACTTTATAGACATAGAAAATGCAAATTCATGAAATGCTGTTGAAAGTACTGTTTACAGTATAAAATGTACTACCTTCCTAGGAAAATTTACAAGGATTCTAGGGAAGCAAAAACTATCTCCTCAGTAGCCTCATAAATATCATTATTACAGTACTGTGAAAACATTATAATTTTAACCCTTTCAGGGTTGGTGCCGTACTAGTACGGCTTGCACGCCCAGGGTTGGTGCCGTACTAGAACGGCTTGCACGCCAGGGTTGGTGCCGTACTAGTACGCATAAATTCTAGCGCCTTCAAATCTAGCAAGAGAAAGCTGATAGGTGTACATATGAAAGAATGGGTCTATGTGGTCAGTGTGCACAGTATAAAAAAAATTCTGCAGCATACAGTGCATAATGAGAAAAAAACTCCAATCGTGTTTTTGCTTTAAAACGGCGACTTTGCAGTGTATTTTCACATGCTATTTATGGTTGTAGTCTAGTTTTCCTGGTGTTATTTTATAGAATGGAAGACATATTACAGAAATTGAGATGATTTTGATTGGTTTCACAATGAAAAGTACCTTGAAATTGAGCTCAAAGTAACAAAAATGTTTGATTTTTGCCAAAGTTCAAAAGTAAACAAATCATGCCATGCGTCCAATACATGTCAACTGGTGAGTCTAATATTCTTTCACAAGTGTGCTGATATTATTTATACCATTTCTACACTAATTCAGTAGTCTGCATAACAGTAAATCTTCTATTTTTTTGTGAGAATAAAAATTCAAAGTGGAAAGCAAAAGAAATGTAAGAGGCCTGGGGACGTGACTAATGAACAGAAAAATGTTATTTTATTGCAGGAATGTCTGTCTTGTTTATTCTGGACCCTATTTGGAAATTGGCATCTTTTGAAATTTGTGTGAAATTGGCAAAATTGCAAATTTCTGACCACTTTATTGAACAGTTGAAATCAGTAAATGGGCATTTTCTTGTACTCATTCGATAGAAAAATGGAGTTCTAGCGAAATAGTTATGATTTTTGTCAACTGGTACGTTGGAATTGGCCAAAAATAGGGCTCAAAGTGGGCAAAATTGCCGATGCGTAAACATTGTCGAGACCGTTAACTTCACAAGAGCATAATTCCGTACGTTTTCCATCAAATTTCATACTTTTGGTGTCATTATGATCAGGAAAAGATTCTCTATCATTGCATAAGATTTTTTTTTTTTTTTTTTTTTTTTTTTGAAAAATTTCCGACCCTTAGAACAAGTTTAGGAGAGGGCCTGCCGACCCTGAAAGGGTTAAGTATATGCACTACAAGAAGTTCCTAATTACAAATGGCACTTTTGAAAGCCTTAAGTACATACTGTATCAGTCACTTTACCCACATTTTATCCTACACATCGTACAATCAAGATGCAATGTTACTAAAAGTACCACCGTACTCGTAAAAACTTTTTGATACAAGTCAGTCTCTACATGAACAGTTTTGAAAAAATCACAATACTGTAGATTAACAGAGGAGCATTATCTTACACTCACGCAACTCACAAAATTGTAATAACACAATTGCAAACAAACCACAATATGGGGGGGAGTGGTTAGAACGCATGGCAAGTGTCACTACTTGCTTTCCATGGGTTTTAACCCCCACCTGTACCATGGTTTATACATACATACTTAATATCTTTACATTTCTAGTGAGCAAGTGTGTGTTTGGATGATAAAAACTACAGTACAAAAATGCTAAATTAACGAGGTATCATAGAAACCTCATGTATCACAGATATTATACTGTACACAGTTATTATATTTACAAAGACTCATTCAACCTGCGTAGGTCATTCAAACACTGCACTTTACTCTTATACATGCTAACCAGGGACCCAGACCACAACCTTGCCCATTAAGAATATAATAAAATGATATATATTGTAACTAAGTTTTCCATATTAGTGTAACACTGTATTTATGATTTTATTATCTATTTGACACTTGTGTACCATATTACTTAACAGGACCAGAAACAAATACAAAATGAATTTTTTTAATTAAAATGAGTAACACACAATATAAATTCTCTTACATTCGAATAGTTTGAAGGAAATAATTGCTCAATTTTTGTATTATTTATCCTAGGTACTGTATGTGTTCCATAAATGAGCATATTTTGTTACAGTAATTGCTTCTAATAAATTTTTTTTTTAACTTACCAGTTCATTTTCCTTTTATTTACAATAGCCCCATTTGGTAGATGTAACACTTGAGTATCTACTTGGCTGCAACACTTAACTTTCTTGTTTAAATCACAGAATGCTGTATGTACCTACATAATTAGTAGTAATAGTACTAGCAGCAATAATAATAGAGGGGGACCAACAACCTGTTTGCTCGTGGGACCCATGACTAAATCTGGACATTATTTAACCCTTAAACGGTCCAAACGTATATATATGTTTTCTTTGTCATTCATTCAACATTGCCACAATAAGCCTGAGTCACCTAGAAATGAGAGAATGGGTGTGCACTCACTGTGTGCCATATTAAAATAATTGGGGATGCCTGGGCACAATATGCTCTTTTTTTCCTTTTAAAAGAAAAGATTTTTTTTTTTCCTCAAAAAATTTGGGGCGCTACGCGAGTGAACGTATATATACGTTTGGACCGTTTAAGGGTTAACCCTTAAACTCTCCAAACAGATTTACGTTCACATGCATAGTGCTCCAAAAGTAGATCTACTGTTTTTTTACATATTTTGAAATATAACAAAAAAAAAAAAAGTAAATCAAAGTTTTTTTTTATGTTTTCAAATGTAAAAAAAAAAAAAAAAAAAAATCTACGTTTTTTTACATACAAATGTACTTTCAAATGTTGAAAAAACGTAGATCTACATTTGGACAGTTTAAGGGCTAAAAATTTTATGTGCGAGGTAAACTGTTCAATGGGTCCATTGTTTCCAAGCAGTCTTATAGAATGATAAAATTGGACTAAAGATAAAATGATTCATCTCGTGGAGCAAATTGCAACCTAGACAAAAGAAAGATGTAAAAAGCATTTTTCCAAAATGAAATTTGTATTCCAAGAAACTGATTGGAATATATTTTGACAAAACATTGCACAGCTAGAAAGTATTTTGAAACTTTTTAAGTTTCATTAAATAATTACATATACATAGTGTTTTGAACATCCAGCAGGCATGTGTGAGCATGTCGGATAGGAGAGTGAGTGGGATTTGACGAGCTGTTGGAGTGAGAGCTAGGTAACATTTTGCAAAGGGATTCAGGGAAATGGGTAAGCCAGACTTAAGTCCTGGAGGTGGGAAGCATAGTGCCTGCACTATACTTCCCTGGAGGTGGGAAGTATAGTGCCTGACCTACACTTTCCTGGATGTGGGAAGTATAGCCTGCACTGTATCCTCACCCCAGTAAATGACTGGGGTGGAGATGTTTGGAGGGGCAACTGAACTGTAGTACTGGCATGCCTTTGGCAAGACAGTGATGGAGTGAATGATAGTGAAAGTGTTTTTTTTTTCTTTCAAGTCGCCCTGCCTTGGTGGAAGATGGCCAGCATGTTAAAAAAAAGTTTTCATTATCAATTACTATGATCTAATGAAAAGATACATAAGAAAAATAAGAATATATTTTCACTTATTTTGTGTGAATTTTTTTTAAACAAGTTGGTCGTCTCCCACCGAAGCAGGGTGACCCAAAAAGAAAGAAAATCCTCGAAAAGAAAATACTTTCATAATCATTCAACACTTTCACCTCACTCACACTTAATCACTGTTTTTGTAGAGGTCCTCAGAATACAACAGTTTAGAAGCATATACGTATAAAGATACACAGTATATCCCTCCAAACTGCCAATATCCCAAACCCCTCTTTAAAGTGCAGGCATTGTACTTCCCATTTCCAGGACTCAAGTCCGGCGATATAAAAATAACCGGTTTCCCTGAATCCCTTCACTAAATATTACCCTGCTCACACTCCAACAGCTTGTCAGGTCCCAAATACCATTCGTCTCCATTCACTCCTATCTAACACACTCATACACGCTTGCTGGAAGTTCAAGCCCCTCGCCCACAAAACCACCTTTACCCCCTCCCTCCAACTTTTTCAAGGACGACCCCTACCCCACCTTCCTTCCCCTACAGATTTATATGCTCTCCATGTCATTCTACTTTGATCCATTCTCTCTAAATGACCAAACCACCTCAACAACCCCTCTTCAGCCCTCTGACTAATACTTTTATTAACTCTACACCTTCTCCTAATTTCCGCACTCCAAATTTTCTGCATAATATTTACACCCCACATTGCCCTTAGACAGAACATCTCCACTGCCTCTAACAGTCTCTTCACTACAGCATTTACAACCCAGGTTTCACACCCATATAAGAGTGTTGGTACCACTATACTTTCATACATTCCCTTCTTTACCTCCATAGATAACGTTTTTTGTCTCCACATATACCTCAACGCACCACTCGCCTTTTTTCCTTCATTTCTATGATTAACCTCATCCTTCATAAATCCATCCTCTGACACGTCAACTCCCAAATATCTGAAAACATCCACTTCTTCCATACTACTCCTCTCCAAATTTGTTATCTAATTTTTCTTTAACTAAATCATTTGATACCCTCATCACCTTACTCTTTTTCTATGTTCACTTTCAATTTTCTACCTTTACACACACTCCCAAACTCATCCGCTAACCTTTGCAATTTTTCTTTAGAATCTCCCATAAGCACAGTATCATCAGCAAAAAGTAACTGTGTCAATTCCCATTTTGTATTTGATTCCCCATAATTTAATCCCACCCCTCTCCCAAACACCCTAGCATTTACTTCTTTTACAACCCCATCTATAATATATTAAACAACCATGGTGACATTACAGATCCCTGTCTAAGACCTACTTTTACTGGGAAGTAGTCTCCCTCTCTTCTACACACCCTAACCTGAGCCTCACTTCTTTCTTCTTTCAACGTACCAGCCGTATCCCACTGAGGTGGGGTGGCCCAAAAGAAAAAACTGAAGTTTCTCCTTTTAAATTTAGTAATATACAGGAGAAGGGGTTACTAGCCCCTTGCTCCCGGCATTTTAGTCGCCTCTTACGACACACATGGCTTACAGAGGAAGAATTCTGTTCCACTTCCCCATGGAGATGAGAGGAAATAAACAAGAACAAGAATTAGAAAGAAAATAGAAGAAAACCCAGAGGGGTGTGTATATATATGCTTGTACATGTATGTGTAGTGTGACCTAAGTGTAAGTAGAAGTAGCAAGACTTACCTGTAATCTTGCATATTTATGAGACAGACAAAAGACACCAGCAATCCTACCATCATGTAAAACAATTACAGGCTTTCGTTTTACACTCACTTGGCAGGACGGTAGTACCTCCCTGGGCGGTTGCTGTCTACCAACCTACTACCTACCTATCCTCACTATCTACTAGCCTCACTATCCTCATAAAAACTTTACAGCATTTAGTAACTTACTACCTATTCCATATACTTGCAACATCTGCCACATTGCTCCCCTATCCAATCTATCATATGCCTTTTCTAAATCCATAAATGCAGTAAAACCTTCTCTACCTTTATCTAAATACTGTTCACATATATGCTTCACTGTAAACACTTGATCTACACATCCCCTACCCACTCTAAAACCTCCTTGCTCATCTGCAATCCTACATTCTGTCTTACCTCTTAATTCTTTCAATAACAACCCTACCATACACTTTTCCTGGTATACTCAGTAAACTAATTCCTCTATAATTTTTACAATCTCTTTTGTCCCCCTTCCCTTTACATAAAGGAACTATACATGCTCTCTGCCAATCCCTAGGTACCTTCCCCTCTTTCATACATTTATTAAACAAAAATACAACCACTAACACTATATCCCTCCCTGCTTTTAACATTTGTCATGATCGCGTCAGTTCCAGCTGCTTTGCTCCCTTTCATTCTATATAATGCCTCATGCACCTCCCCCACACTCACATCCTGCTCTTCTTCACACCCAAAAGATGGTATACCTCACTGGCCAATGCATGAAATTACCGCCTCCCTTTCTTCATCGACATTTAAAAGTTCCTCAAAATATTCCCGCCATCTACCCAATACCTCCATCTCCCCATCTACTAACTCCCCTACTGTTTTTTAACTGACAATTCCATTCGTTCCCTAGGCTTTCTTAACTCCAAAATTTTTTCTTATTTTCATTAAAATTTCTTGACAGTGCCTCTCCCACTCTATCATCTGCTTTCCTTTTGCACTCTTTCACCACTCTCTTCACCTTTCTTTTACTCTCCACATACTCTGCTCTTCTTATAACACTTCTGCTTTGTAAAAACCTCTCATAAGCTACCTTTATTCTTTTATCACAACCTTTACTTCATCATTCCACCAATCACTCCTCTTTCCTCCTGCACCTACCCTCCTATAACCACAAACTTCTGCCCCACATTCTAATCAGTTTTAAAACTATTCCAACCCTCTTAAACCCCCCCCCCCCCACTACTCATACTTGCACTAGCCCACTTTTCTGCCAATAGTTGCTTATATCTCGCCTGAAATTCCTCCTCCCTTAATTTATACACTTTCACCTCTCTTACTTCTTGTTGTCATTTTCCTCTTATCCCATCTACCTCTTACTGTAACTGTAACTACAACTAAATAATGATCCAATATATCAGTTGCCCCTCTATAAACGTGTACATCTTGGACCCTACCCATTAACCTTTTAACTACTTTCATTACGTGCTATATCAAACCTTGTATATTTATTTATTCTCTATTTCATAAAATATGTATTACTCATTACCAAACCTCTTTCTACACAGATTTTTTTTTTTTTTTTAACAAGTCGGCCGTCTCCAGCCGAGACAAGGTGACCCAAAAAGAAAGAAAAAATCCCCAAAAAGAAAATACTTTCATCATCATTCAACACTTTCACCTCACTCACACATAATCACTGTTTTTGCAGAGGTGCTCAGAATACAACAGTTTAGAAGTACAGTGGACCCCCGCATACCGATTTTAATCCGTGCAAGAGGGGTCATTGGTATGCGAAATAATCGGTATGCGAATGAAATTTCCCCATAAGAAATAATGGAAATCAAATTAATCCGTGCAAGACACCCAAAAGTATGAAAAAAAAATTTTTTTACCACATGAAATGTTAATTTTAATACACACAAACTGAAAAAGGCATGCACACTTACATGACACTTACTTTTATTGAAGATCTGGTGATGATTGATGGGATGGGAGGAGGGGAGAAAGAGTGTTAGTGTTTAGAAGGGGAATCCCCTTCCATTAAGACTTGAGGTGTCGAGTCCTTTTCTGGGGTTACTTCCCTTCTTCTTTTAATGCCACTAGGACCAGCTTCAGAGTCACTGGACTTCTTTCGCACAACATATCTGTCCATAGTGGCCTGTACCTCTCGTTCCTTTATGACTTCCCTAAAGTGTTTCACAACATTGTCAGTGTACAGGTTGCCAACACGGCTTGCAATAGCTGTGTGAGGGTGATTCATCCATAAAGGTTTGCACTTTCAGCCACATTGCACAGATTTCCTTAATCTTTGTAGTAGGCAACTTCTTCAATTTCTCTCTCCCCTCCTCTGAACCAGTTTCCTCAGGTCTGGCCTCTTGCTGTTGAAGTTGATCTATCAGCTCATCAGTGGTTAGTTCTTCATTGTCCTCCTCCACCAACTCTTCCACATCCTCCCCACTAGCCTCCAACCCCAAGGACTTTCCCAATGCCACAATGGATTCCTCAACTGGCATAATCCTCTCAGGGTTAGCCTCAAACCCTTCAAAATCCCTTTTGTCTACACATTCTGGCCACAGTTTCTTCCAAGCAGAGTTCAAGGTCTTCTTAGTCACTCCCTCCCAAGCCTTACCTATAAGGTTTACACAATTGAGGATATTAAAGTGCTCTCTCCAAAACTCTCTTAGTCAGTTGAGTTTCTGAGGTCACTACAAAGCACCTTTCAAACAGAGCTTTTGTGTACAGTTTTTTGAAGTTTGCAATAACCTGCTGGTCCATGGGCTGCAGGAGAGGAGTGGTATTAGGAGGCAAAAACTTGATGTTAATGAATTTCATGTCCCCATAAAGTCGCTCTGCCACGTCTGTAGGATGACCAGGGACATTGTCTAACACCAGGAGGCACTTAAGTTCTAATTTCTTTTCAGTTAGGTAATCTTTCACATTGGGGGCAAATGCATGGTGTAACCAGTCATAGAAAAAGTCCCTAGTGACCCATGCCTTACTGTTTGCCCTCCACAGCACACACAAATTCTCCTTGAGGACATTCTTTTGCCTGAACGCTCTGGGAGTTTCAGAGTGATACACTAATAAAGGCTTCACTTTGCAATCACCACTAGCATTGGAACACATTAACAAAGTAAGCCTGTCTTTCATAGGCTTATGTCCTGGGAGTGCCTTTTCCTCCTGAGTAATGTAGGTCCTGCTTGGCATTTTCTTCCAAAACAGGCCTGTTTCATCACAATTAAACACTTGTTCAGGTTTCAGTCCTTCAGCCTCTATGTACTCCTTGAATTCATGCACATATTTTTCAGCCGCTTTGTGGTCCGAACTGGCAGCCTCACCATGCCTTATCACACTATGTATGCCACTACGCTTCTTAAATCTCTCAAACCAACCTTTGCTGGCCTTAAATTCACTCACATCATCACTAGTTGCAGGCATTTTTTTAATTAAATCCTCATGCAACTTCCTAGTCTTTTCACTTATGATCACTTGAGAGACGCTATCTCCTGCTAGCTGTTTTTCATTTATCCACACCAATAGGAGTCTCTCAACATCTTCCATCACTTGCGATCTTTGTTTCGAAAACACAGTTAAACCTTTGGCAAGAACAGCTTCCTTGATTGCCTTTCTGGTGCCCACAATAGTAGTGATGGTTGATTGGGGTTTCTTGTACAACCTGGCCAGGTCGGCGATACGCACTCCACTTTCATACTTATCAATGATCTCTTTCTTCATCTCTATTGGAATTCTCACCCTTATTGCTGTAGGGTTGGCACTAGAAGCTTTCTTGGGGCCCATGGTCACTTATTTTCCAGAAAAAGCACCGAAAACACTGTAATAATACGAAATATTCCGATTGTATGCTTGGATGTTACCGCGGAGGCTGGCTGGTAAACAATGCCACCGGCGGCACATGTGAGGCTGGCTGAGGGCGCACATTGGACGCGTCTCGGACGAACATCGGTGAGCGGGTTTTTAAGCAGTATGCGAGGCAAAATTTTTGCGATTAAAGCAAGCGGTATGCGGATTAATCGTTATGTGATGCCAACGGTATGCGGGGGTCCACTGTATATACGTATAAAAGTACACAATATATCCCTCCAAACTGCCAATATTCCAAACCCCCAAACCCCTCCTTTAGAGTGCAGGCATTGTACTTCCCATTTCCAGGACTCAAGTCCGGTTACATAAAATAACTGGTTTCCCTGAATCCTTTCACTAAATATTACCCTGCTCACACTCCAATAGCTCATCAGGTCCCAAATACCATTTGTCTCCATTCACTCCTATCTAACACGCTTACGCACGCTTGCTGGAAGAATTTATTGTATATGAAGTAATTCCTGAACAACCCCACAACTGGAAAAACAGTCTTACTCCTGAACTTGTCTGCATCAGAAACTTGATGTACACAACACTGCAATAATGCTGTTTTACCACAAATCAAAACTGTGAAGACAGAAATGAAAATTTTACCATATCGTGAAGGTGACGAATTGTGTCAGGAGCAAGTACTAAATATCGAATAGATATCCTTATCACTGAATGGATGTCAACATGTGCATGGGGACCACAAGTTATTATTCAAACATACTCTGACCTGACAGGCCTGTCATGGAGAATGACAAGCCTGTCAGGTCATACAGCATCACACAAAGGTACATAAAACTAACATAAAATGCACAAACTTAAGGCACAAATTTGGAAAAGAAAAAATCTCATTATCTAACATGAAGCTACAATAATTATTAGGAATACAGCATAACAGAGTCTATGGAGGAGTTAACGTAAACTAGAAATTTTACGACATTAAACAATGAAAAAAGGGACATGTCCATGTTTACTCATGAAGTCTTGATATTTAATGTCAAAAAATATGATAATTTAAGAGATGAGGCAAAAACCGTAGTTAAGTCTGCCATGTGAAAGCTGTAATAATTAGACAATTCATTTTAGTAGAATACAATACAATACAGAGTTCATTTCTTTATGCAGTACAAATAATGTAGTTTACATATAAGAAAACATTGGTAGGCACAAAAGAAACTACTAGTATGCAAAGCATTTCAGGCAAATTAATCTTAATGGCATTCCTATGCCAAGTTTTCAGTGATGCAACTGATTGATGGTAATTTTATATCTTTATGGTATACATATAAGGTATTAAGAATTTTTTTATATGCATCAGCATTAGGAAATACACATGGATTCCAGTTGGTAAAAACATATACAAAGGATACACATTTGTTAAGTTAAATATAATTTTCTTGCTAATAAATGCTGAAATAAATAAAAATATGCCCACTGGGCATGAACACCCCAAGAGACTGCTAAGCATGAACCTAGCTGTATTGAACACTTAATGTATAATAGTGTAAAAGCATTATCAGGCATTTTAGACACATTTGATAATGCAAAAAAAAAAAAAAAACTTTTCCATCCTCTGGCAATTTTTGCTTGCTGCACAGGGTAAGGAACCTAAGAGGCATACAAACAAGGCCCTCCTGTATACAGCTCTGGCATCCTTGACAGTAAAAAATTATTAAAATAAAAGATTGCTCTGCAAATGTCTCTTACTTCAACACTGTTGGCAATCCTTTACCTAACTGCATAATTAAATCAAACCAAGTCAAAGTATAGTAAACACACGCATGTCCTGAGTACGTAAAAAGTGAATAATATAGTATCATAACAGAGTGGAAGAACATGTAGAATTGGACTCACAAAATCGTAATAACAAGATTGCAAACAAACCACAGAACGGGTGGGGGTTGAATCCATGGCAAGCCAGTTTTACGACTTGTTAGCCATGGGTTCAAACCCACCCATTCCGTGGTTTATCTAGAACTGGTCTAGGTACAATCTCACATAGTACTTGATCTCATCACTTGAGAAAATTTTCATGAAATGCTGACACATCACAAATACAACAATTTTGGCCTATGTTAATACCTTGGAAAACTTGAAAATCTGCTGTCAGCCTGTGAACATACCCTTTGTGACTTGCAGAAATTAATTTCTATCAAAAATATGCTTAAAAAGCATTTTAATCAGCCTCTGTGGTTGTAAGAAATGGTAACCAAAACACTAAGAAGATTCTGAAACATCTTGGTTCATATCAATGCACCACGCAGAAACAGGCAGGTCTCCCTATAGTAGGTTTGAATCCTGCTGACTGCAATCTTTCTCTGTATCTTGGTTCATATTAGTACATTAAAAATGCTAAATCCCGAATGATAACTCAACGCTACATTATGATTTCAAGGAAGAAGTTATTTATTGTATATAGCTAAGGCAATGAACAAACTGAATTGAAGCTGGAATTCCTCATTTTTGTGAGTACTGTACTGTGCTGCTGTCATGATTGAGCAAATATAAATAATATCTTATGCAGTATTTGAGATCAAGGGACAGCTACACACATGTTTTATGTAAAATGAGTCATGTTATGCTTTGAATCCTGAAATTAACTAATACTGTATTGTATTTTGAAATAATCCATAATTTGAAGTATTGAAAGAAATTATATATACAGCATCTATAGACAAATTGTATATGGAGTGCACAGTAAAACTTTGATTTAATGGACTAATGAGGAAAGAGGGTGTCTAGTAATGCCAATATAAAAAATGGCAAAAAGAGTACAGTACTGTACGCACTACTGATATAATTAAAATTGACCATAATGGAGTTAAATGTACAGTAAGAGTAATTTTATCTTTTGTGGTCGAGAGATTACTCTGCAGTGACTATGTAATGTGACTAAGAATAACTTTTATTCTCAGGCAGAGGAACGGTGCAACTTCTCTGACCCACTTGTCATTGGTTGATGCTGCTCCAGTATGACAGTTTCTCTTAAAAGACCTGTACAACTTTTCCGAAACATCAGATGTAATTAATACAAATATCAATCTCGTCTCAAACAAGTGACACATTTTGGTGTCTTACTCTTAACACCAGCACTTGCTTTAGAGGCCATGGCTAATCACAGTGTACTTTATATAATAATGATAAAATAAATCCAGGGAAAAACAGAGTGAATAACTACTCCTGGATTCATGCACAGTAACAGAATTGCCACTTACCAGCCACTCCATGAAGTAGCAAAACATTTGATAGTTCTGCACCCACTGGATTTTGTCTGTTGTTTCCCAAATACAGACTCTCCTCACTTAACAATGGAGTTCCGTTCCTAAGAGCACACCGGTAAATGAATTCATCACTAAGCAAGGAGCATACTATAATGGCAGTGGGTTTGTGTCGACCATCTTTAATATTGTCTTAATGTCTCTTTTGCACCATTAACAGTGGAACCTTGGTACTCGAACAATTGGGTATTCGAAAGCTTTATTCGGTAAAAAAAACTGCCCAGTGATCAACTGTTTGCTCGGCACTCGACCAAACAAACACAACCTGCCAGAACTTCGCTGTAAACTATTTTGTGTTTCTTCGCATTTTTTTTATATTATTTGTAAAAGTAAGTCACCATGAGATCTACAAAGATTAGTGTTAACAGCTAACCGAAAAGAAAATTGGTTGGAAAATATTCATTCGGTACTCGAACAGCCTTCTGGAATTAATTAAGTTCGAGTACCGAGATTCCACTATATAATATTTTTAGTATATTTTTAAATGTTTATACAGTACTGTACTGTATATTGTAATAAACAATATAGAGGAAATCAGCTCTAATATACTACATTATTTTGGTATGTCTACTTAGTCAGAGAGCCCAGTGTAAGTCCAAGTCGTCAGTAAACGAGTACGTTGCTAAATGAGGAGAGGCTGTACATCAAATGGAGGTCCATTCCAGTGAGGTTTTACTGTACACACAAACTAAAAATATTTAAAAATTGTATTATAAATAATAAATACGAACTGACCGGAATCATGTTTAAAAAATGCACAAAAGAACTTGATAGTTCGGGAAGATTAATGGGACCAGTATGTAATACACTGCACAATTACATATTCTATTTACAGTCAATAAATTACATTACTGATATTTTTAATGAAAAGTAAATAGTACATGATTTCATCAGTAATTCAGGAAAGTACAGTACAATGCAATCATTAAGGAAAATTTCAAAACAAGTAACAAAAAATTCGTGTGAAAATGAACATGTATAAAATTTATACAAATACAGTGGAACCTCTACTTGCGAGCGCATCCACGTGCGAGTTTTTCCAAATGTGAGCAGTCGATGGGTCAATTTTTTGCTTCCATACACAAGCGAAATTTTCATAAGCGAGTGGACCTCAAGGGAGGTTCCTTGATGCTGGTGAGGGGCTCTTGCTCTTGATCTAGGGGATTGGATCTCGTTTGTTTGTTGGACTATCTTATTGAAACTTGGACAATGTATGATGGAAAGCTGCTTCTTAACGTACGCCAAAAATGAAAGAAATCGAAGCATAAATAATGGAGTTCACCTCTCAGCAATTAGCCACCCCTTAGCGGTATTTTCGTATGGTTTTTATGGTTGTATTCTCGTTTTTTTGGTCTCATTTGATAGAATAGAAGATATATTACAGAAACAGATATGATTTTGATTGCCTTGAAATTGAACTCAAAGTAGGGGAAATGTTCGATTCTTTGGCTATGTTCAAGAGTAAACAAATGACGTCACTGTCCATTCCAATATGCAGTAGTGCATGGGTTGACAGTATTTATACAATTATTGCAAGAAGGCAGTAGTCTGCATAACGGTAAATCTTCTATTTTTTGTGTGAATAAAAATTCATATTTATATTGTAATAATAATAATACGTATAATAATAATAGTATAATATAATAATAGTAATACATATAATAATAATACATAATAATAATGTACTATATAATAATAATTATAATGGCTTCAAAAGGCCATCACTAGATGGCAGTGTTTACCATAACAAAGAGGGAGCGGTTGTGGCCGCTTCCACCTGTTACATAATGGCATATTTTATTCATTCTAGAGTATATATCCAGTTTCTATTTTATTTATATTGTTTATTATGTCATATTAGATGAATTGTGATAGATAAATAAGCCGTATAGATGATACCAGCGAAATTTTTCAAGAAGTATTTTGTCCGGTCTCCAGACAAACTCTCGTCCACCGACGATACCACTACATGAGTATATATCAGGTTTCTATGTTATTTATATTGTTTATTATGTCATATTAGATGAATTGTGATAGATAAATAAGCCATAGAGTTGATATTAGGGAAATTATTGAAGTACAGAATTCCAGTGGAACGGATTAATTGCATTTCAATTAATTTAAATGAGGAAAATTGACCCTGCAAACGAGCAAATCCAGTTGAGCAAGGTCACGGAACAAATTAAACTCGCAAGTAGAGATTCCACTGCATAAGAATTAGGCACAAAGTAATATTCTTCAGTAAAGGTATAACTAAAATTTTAAATTTCCTACAAACCACACAAATTTAATGTAGCTATATAAAAGAAGGAAGCTTTAATGATAGAACTATAGTTTCCTAAAAAAAAAAAAAAAAAAAAAAAAAAAAAAAAAAAAAAAAAAAAATTTCAAAACCCAAGTATTGTATGATCCTAGTGGGTTTAGCACTTGGTTATGACTGTAATAATAATAATAATTCCAAAATCCAAGTAAAGTACAGTAGTGATGAGATCAGGAAGCGTTTTGCCTTAGAGTAGAATCGTGTATTCTCAGGAAGAGTTCTCTAAAACTATAGAGCCTTCGTTATCTTGCATCTGAGTGTAGGAGACAGGGGTGGAAGGATGAGGCAGATGCATGACCTGATCTTCCCCATGGTAGGGGCTTGCATTCTGACCATTCATTGCGACGGAAGTCATAGATTTCCACCGATGAGAGGAACTGACCACCATCATAACCTCCTGTTGATTGAAAATATATCATTACAGCAAATTTACTTACTTTAAATGTTTTTGCAATAGTGTATTTTATGTGCTGAATGGGTCATGGGGAAAATAAAGTTCAATGTATAATAACCAAAACCATACCAGACAGTAACTATTTAGGGAGGTACAATACTAAATATCAGTGCAATAGCTGGAATAATTCAACTAACTCTCAAAATAAAAATGAAAACTCAATAATCTCTTAGTCCATCCTAGACCATCAGTGAGTAACTTTATGATGATCCTTGATTGACTTAAACATCTGAACCAAATTCTGACATTGGCAAAATTACCCATTTGGTAAATAAAACAGTTTTTTTTTTTTTATTTTTTTTTTATCATGCTGGCAGTCTCCCACCGAGGCAGGGTGACCCGAAAAAACATTTAGAAATTCATCATATTGCACATATGTGTACTAGTCATGTCACTGTTTGAAACCAATGAAAATCATAATATGGCTTACCCATTACAAAAATCTTTCCATCCCAGACAGAGACGGTCATGGCCGAACGAGGTATTTTGATGGGAGCCACAGAGGACCAAGTATCTGTTTCAGTATCATATTTTTCAACTGAGCACAACTGATGCTGTCCATCATAGCCCCCAATAACATAAATATTATTCCCAACAGCACACACTCCCGCACCACTTCTTGGGATCTTTATGGGTGCCACAAACGTCCACTGATTATTTTCAGGATGGTAACACTCGACAGAGTTTAACCTGTGTTCACCATTATACCCACCAACGGCATACATAAGTCTGTTTACAACTGTAACACCTACACCCATTCTAGCTTTGGACATTGATTGCACCAAAGTCCACTGATCATCATCTGGTTCGTATTTTTCCACAGTGTTGTGAAAAGTGGCACCATTCGAGCCTCCAACAGCATACAACTGACCATCTAACACTGCCACGCCAAGTCTATTGCGTGGATAATACATCCGAGCCCTCTGTTTCCACGTGTTTGTTATGGGGTTAAAGGAGTCGACCCAGTTGCTGTCATGATAGTTACCATTGGGCAGAATGTTTCTTCCCCCCACAGCATAAAATATTCCACGAAGATATGCGGCTCCTAAGCCTGACCTGGAAAAAAGTACAAAAACTGTATATAAACACTACTTGCTAATTATCCAGCAAAAAATTTCTTTACATACATGTATATTGAAGTGCTAATAAAAAATTCGAGACACTAAAAAAATACAGCATTAACCCTTTTGGTGTCAGTGCCATAATACAATAGGGCCCTACTTATACAGCAGGTTAGGCTCCAGGCTACCACCGGCAAGCATAATGCCATTTTTTTTCACTTATAAATGCATATGAATTCCAGATGACAAGTTTACACTAACACATTATCCCTTTCACTGTTGAGACCCCCCCTGCTTACAAACTTGCTTTCACTGTCGAAGAATTTTCAAAACAAAACAAAAAAAAAAATTATTTTCTTATGAAATGATAAAGAATCTTTTCCCAATGGTAATGACACCGAAAGTACAAAATTTGATGGAAAACTTACGGAATTACACTTTCGCGAAGTTAGCAGTCTCGGTGATATATATGCATCGGCGATTTCACCCACTTTGAGCCCTATTTTCGGCCAATTCCATTGTTTTATTCGACCAAACTCTTAGCTATTTTGCTAGAACTCTATTTGTTCTGTCGACTGAGTACAAGAAACTGCCAATTTACCGATGTCAACTACCCAATAAAGTGGTCAGAAATTGGCAATTTGGCCAATTTCACACAAATTTCAAAAAGATGCCAATTTCAAAACAGGATCCAGAAACAATGCAAACATTCCTGGCACTAAAATAACATTTTCTCTGTTCATTAGTCACGTCTCCAGGCCCCTCTTATTTTACTCTTGCTTTCCATTGTGAATTTTTATTGACACAAAAAAAAAATAGAAAATTTACTGTTATGCAGACTACTGCATTATTGTAATAATTGTATAAATAATGTCAACCCAATCGTGACTGCATATTAGACTGGCAGTTGGACACATCTTGAACATCAGCAAAAATCAAACATTTCTGCTAATCTGAGTTAAATTTCAAGGTACTTTTCATTGTGAAACCAATCAAAATCATCTCTATTTTTGTAATACAGTGGTCCCTCAATAATTGTCCATAATCCGTTCCTGGAAGTGGGACTATTATCGAAATAGACGATTTTCGAATCAATTTTCCCCATAAGAAATAATGTAAATGCAATTAATCCATTCCTGACACCCAGAAGTATTAAAACAAACAAATTTTTTACATGAAATATAGATGTAGTACATAAACAATACAATGGCACATGATGAATGAAACATTAACAGAATAACACTTACCTTTAGTGGCGATTCTTCTTAGTGTATGGAAGACTGGAGGAGACAGATTGGATTATTTACTGTTTGGAAGGGGAATCCCCTTCCATCAACACCTCAGGTACCAATTGCTTTTCTGGGGTTACTTCTCTTCTGTTTCTTAATGCCACTAGTGACTACCTTGAGAGTCACTGGGGTTCTGTCTCGCAAAAAAACTGTCCAGAGAGCTCTGTTTCTGGCGTCTCTTTAAAACTTCCCTAAAATGGGCCAAGACTCTGTCACTGTACAAGTTGCCGATATGGCTTGCAACATCCTTCTCAAGGTGATGTTTCTCCATAAATCTTTCCATCCTACCCCACATTTCAAAAATCTCCTTAATTTCTGAAGAAGGCACTTTCTTCCATCTCTCTTCTTCCTCCTCTGCAGCAAGATTCTGAGCTGCGATCTGTTGCTCTTCCTGCTGAAGCTCTTGCAGCTCCTCAGTGGTTAGCTCTTCGTTGTGGTCCTCCTCCAACTCTTCCACATCCTCTAAACTCACATCCAACCTCATGGAACTCCCCAGTGCAACAATAGAGTTCACAACTGACATAGGCTCATCAGGGGCTGCCTCAAACCCTTCAAAATCCCTCTTGTGGACACAATCTGGCCACAATTTTCTCCAAACAGAGTTCAAAGTCCTGGTAGTCACTCCCTCCCAAGCCTTACCTATAAGGCTTACACAAAGGAGAATACTGAAGTGTTCTTTCCAAAAATCTCTTAGGATCAAGTGAGTGTCTGAGGTCACAGTAAAGCACCTTTCAAACATTGCTTTGGTGTAGAGTTTTTTAAAGTTTGAAATGACTTGCTGGTCCATGGGCTGGAGGAGAGGAGTGGTATTCAGGGGCAAGAACTTTACTGTGATGAACCCAAACTCCTTCAGACTTAGGTCATCCAAGTTTGGAAGATGAGCAGGTGCATTGTCCATTACTAGCAGGCACTTGAGATCCAATTTCTTTTTCAGGAGGTAATTCTTCACACTAGGGCCAAACACTTCATTGAACCACTCGACGAAAATTTCCCTCGTGACCCATGCCTTACTATTAGATCTCCAAAACACACACAATTTACTCTTCAAAACATTGTTTTTCTTGAACACTCTGGGATTTTCAGAATGGTACACTAGTAACGGCTTCACTTTGAAATCCCCACTAGCATTAGCACAGAACATGAGCGTCAGCCTGTCTTTCATGGGCTTGTGTCCTGGCAGTGCCTTTTCTTCCTGAGTAATGTAGGTCCTCTTTGGCATTTTCTTCCAAAAGAGGCCTTTTTTGTCACAATTGAACACTTGTTCAGGTTTCAGTCCTTCAGTCTCTATGTACTCCTTGAATTCCTGCACATATTTTTCAGCCGTTTTGTTGTCAGAACTGGCAGCCTCACCATGCCTTACCACACGATGTATGCCAGTACGCTTCTTAAATATCTCAAACCAGCCTTTGCTGGCCTTAAATTCACTCACATCACCACTAGTTGCAGGCAGTTTCTTTACCAAATTGTCATGCAACTGCCTAGCCTTTTCACAAATAAGCGACGTCATAAGACTATTCCCTGCTAATTGTTTCTCGTTTATCCACACCAATAATAACTTCTCAACACCTTCGAGTACTGGTGATCTCATTTTTGTCAGCATATTTACCCCCTTTGCAACAACAGCATCCTTGATTTCCTTTTTCTTGGCTATGATGGAAGATGTGGTTGTACTGGATTTGTTATACATCCTGGCCAGTTCGCCCACACGTACGTCACTATCATATTGTTCAATGATGTTTTTCTTAAATTCAATTGTATTTCTCGCCTTCTTTACCAAAGGCTTGGCACTAGGAGCTTTCTTTGGAGCCATGGTAGCTTATTTAGCACTTGCAAGCACTAAAATCAATGGAATATTATGAAATATTTTGTTGCAGCAAGTGAGGGGACCGTCGCTCACTGGCAAACAATGGCACACTGGCTGGGAAGGGAAGGCCCAGGCGGCTCAGAGCGTGAGTACGCGTCCCGGAAGAAGGACTACATGTATTAGCAAGTTAATGGACCATTTGCGAGCCAATGTTTAGACGAAATAACAGGACTATTTCCGAAATGGACAACTTTCAGGCCGGACGATTATATATCTTCCATTCTATCAAATGAGACCAAGAAAATGAGAATGCAACAATAAATACCATATGAAAATACCTCAAAGTTGACGTTTTAAACCAAAAACACGGTTGGAGATTCTTTTGCTCATTATATACTGCATGCTGAAGATTTTTTATACTGTGCACACTGACCATGCAGACCCATTCTCTCACATTATAAGTCTACCGGCTTTCTCCTGCTAGATTTGAAGCTGCTAGAATTTTGGCATATTAATATGTCACCGACACTGGCTTGTAAGCCATACCTATACATCACCAACAGTGAAAGGGTTAAGTTAGCAACAGAACTAGGCATTAAAAACAATAAAAAGTAAAATACACACACAGCACACTCATTACTTAACTTAAAATATTTGTAGTCTTAATGTAGGGTGAGAGGTGAGTAGTAGTTGTTGTAAGAAGTCAGGTGTAGGAGGTATGGTAGCCAGCCAGGTCACCCCACCTACACGTAATATACTACAACATTTAATGGGCCCCAGAGCAATAAAATGCACATACAGTACATTCATTACTTACCTTAAAATATTTGTAGTCTTAACGTAGGGTTAGAGGTAAGTAAACGAGGTAAAACGAATAAACAAGAGAGAGAATGAGTAAATGAGAGAGGAGAGAGATGTGTAGTATGCAAACAAGCAGACGAACGCATCTGGTTATGATTCATACAGTTCATCAACACGTATCATTTCATAATTGTTAATTTATTCTACTGTGGGGTGTATTTATCATGTTTATATGTTATGCAGTGTGTTTATGTATAATTTTGAAAAAAAATAGATTAATGAATGTTTATATTACCATAATATGACATTAACCCTTTCACTGTGTCGGTCGTATACATGTGTCTTACGAGCCACCGTGTTTCACATATATATACGTACTCATAAATTCTAGCGGCTTCAAATCAAGCAGGAGAAAGCTGGTAGGCCCACATGTGAGAGAATGGGTCTGTGTGGTCAGTGTGCACCACATAAAAAAATCCTGGAGCACGCAGTGCATAATGAGAAAAAAAACTGACTTTTTTTTTTTTTTTTAATTAAAATGCCAACTTTGTGATTTATTTTCGTATAGTATTTATGGGTATATTCTCGTTTTCTTGGTCTCATTTGATAGAATGGAAAACATATTATAGAAATAGAGGTGATTTTCATTTGTTTTACTATAAGAACCTTGAAATGGAGCTCAAAGTAGGGGAAATGTTTGATTTTTGCCGATGTTCAAAAGTAAACAAATGATGTCAGTCCAATAAATGTCCAACTAGCCATTCTAATATGCAGTCATGAATGGATTGACATTATTTGTACAATTATTACAGTATTGCAGTAGTCTGCATAACAGTAAATCTTCTATTTTTTGTTTGAAAAAAATTCAAAATAGAAAGCAAGAGTAATATCAGAGGGGCCTGGAGACATGATTGATGAACAAAGAAAATGTTACTTTAGAGCCAGGAATGTCTGAATTGTTCATTCTGGACCTTATTTTGAAATTGTCATATTTTTTAATTTTCGTGAAATTGGCCAAATTGCAAATTTCTGGCCACGTTATTGGGTAGTTTAAATCGGTAAATGGGCAGTTTCTTGTACTCAATCAATAGAAAAAAAGGA